TAAATTTTGAATATATTCTTTATGTTCTGCTTTAGGTAACACGAGATGAATTTCTTAATTACTACTCAGGTGTAAGCGCATCCATTGACAATGACATGTATTTCGATTTGATGATGCGTAATTCATGCAAAATATAAATCAAGCTGTCGCGTTTTTATAATTCATTTTGTGCTGAAGGACAAGGAACCTTAAGAAGATTAATTTTTGTGTCAAACAAGTCGCGTTTTTCTTTTTTTATCTTACTTTTTAGTTCACTCCTGGATCTAGAAAATTATCCTCAGCATTCAACTGAGCGATTATGGTCTTCTTCAATTTCTCAGATTTGAGAGCGATATAATTTCTTAGTTCGATTCAAAGTGGTCTAACTTACGTGAGATTTGAGTTTTTTCCAGACCAATCTGCAATTAGTTTGAGTAAACTGAACTGAATATGAAGTATGTCTACAGCAACTGTACGCTATTAAGTCTCTCTAAAGCCAAAACACAACCATTGACTACTTTTAGCATCAGTTTTCCAAAGTATTCTGATAGTTTAACTGTCTTGGATCATTCAGCATCATAATCATTTACAAGTATGTTTCATAATCTATGAAAACATTGCTAAAACACATTGCGTGGATCTCTTCTGGTTAACCTAAGTGATAGTCTAAATTAAGTGCTTTTTTCGAAGTTTGTACTCATTGTATGTTATCGAGTGATTAAAAAAGTATTGATGTAAATATGGCTTTTAAATATTCGATGTTTGCCCATTTTATTATAAGATCCGTCGGCATGTTGAAAGAGAGTATGTGACTGAAGTAGAGTGACTTAAAGGCCTTAAATGAACGAAAACCATCAAAAGCTAAAAGATGATTGCAAACAAATAGTGTTTTGAGCTGAATTATTAATCTTTACGACAATTCAATATTTTTTATTGTGAGCCGATCATAAGACAGAGTGGGTATTTTCTGCATAGTAGGTGGAGAAGACTACGAAGTACATTCAGCAACCTCAACAATGAACTTTTTCTACGTTTTTCAAACACGGTGTATCGAGTGACTGACTCTGGAGTGACTGATTGAATCTGGATAATTTTTTTGATTTTTTGATAGTCCAAAGACGGTTTTATTTTTCATGTTTAGAATCAATTCATAAAAAATTATTTTTTACTGTTTTGCTCGATTTTTGAGCAAATTTTGTAGGATAATTTTCTGGATAATTTTCTAGTCGGATTTTCCCACTGTTCCCGTAAAGACAACAAAATGATTCTAGGGAAATATAGTCACCATATCCATCTAAATGATCCACCGATCAAAACTTGAAAAAATGAAAGTAAATTTTTTTTCCACATGTCCTTCCTCTAGCCAAAGCCAGCATAGAAAGATCAAACTACATAATCGAAATGGTTTTTCGACAGTACAAATGCCTTTCATTAATAGAAATCTTGCTGATAAGTCGATAAGCTCATCATTCTACCTTCAATGAAGGTAGAAAACATATGTTTGTGGATAAATAATCATTGATTTTAGCCATAATGAATAAACTAATAATCGTTAAAAGATAGATCAGGTTTTGTTTGATTGTTCGCTGCAACTCTTTGAGAGATAATTATTGAATTGAACTAAAACGAATTGTCGAAAAAATAAGTGTGACTGATACTGATGAACTGAATGCCAGCAGAGCAGGAACAATAGGATTTGTTTTGACAGTCTGGAGTATAAATAACAATTTCGTAATTACAAAAACGATAAGCGTGTGAAAATTCAAGAGTTTTTTGCTTAGATGTGCGCATGGAAGTTGCGCATGACACTGAAGTAAGCATCTGTGCTAATTCACTATTGGCTGCAATCGGAAACAATCATCATGATTGAACACTCTAAAAAAATTGTGTCGCATTATGTGTGGATGTGTCGCAAACAGCTCTTCATGTCCCAAAAAAATAATGTGTCGCAGAGTCTAGCGGAAAAATGTGTTGGGAAAGTTTTGCGACACATTATTTTTGGCGACATGGAGAACTGTTTGGGACACATCCACACATAATGCGACACAATTTTTTTAGAGTGAGCAAGGCAAAATCATTGACACAATGTCAATTCCAACTAGCACCATTATTCTTTTAAATATAACCAATTTTTTATCTATCTTTTATTTATTTAAGCATTCAGGTATCTTCGCAAAACTAAAATAAAATCATGCGGGCAAAATTGCTACCTTATCGTCAAGCAGCAAATCACACATATCGAACGTATTGATGACCGGGATTTGTTGTGTTAGTCGGTGGTGCACCGATGTAAGCGGTAATATCATGTTTGGTGTCGAGATTCGTGGTACAAATCCTAACACTGGACCTGGTGGTTACGTTACCTCAGCATTCAACACAATAGCACTGCACGATTGATAATTATAAAAGTGTGATTATATTTTGACTCGAATTCTGCATTCTTTAGGCTCACCTAAAACCTAAATTATTCAGATAAACGATCTGGATGAGCAATATCACGAATACTCCATAGTTTCTCATTGGGTGCTTAAGTTTGGATTCCAAACTTTGGAATTCATATGAAGATTTCAAAAATCTAGTGTTTATCTATATTTGAGATGCTTTTTTTATACTTCACGTAACATATCGTTTTCTTTCCTCTATTTTGCCTAATCGCACGTGGGAGACATCTCAAAAATAGAAGATATGTGAGAATAAAGTAATATTTGTACTCTTACTGTAACATCAGCTTAAAGAAAACACTGTTCGAATCTCCAGAATCTGCAGAGCATCCATAATAAAAAAAGTTAGGAAAGAAAATTGATGCAAATATTTTGAACAGACACAGTCAATTTTTTCTGATTAAGTTCATGTGCAACTGTTTTTCATAAAAGTATTAATTAGTGAGATTTTTTATCGGCAACGGCTGAGTACCATAAAAATTTTCGCCAATGCTTTAGTTCATATTACTAAATGAAAAAGACGGTTTTTCTTGGCGCCGAAGCAGTAATAAAATTCTATTATTGTTCATTAACTAAATAATCTGTTTTGTTAAATTTTCTTAAAATTCAATCTTTGTTAGTTTGTCGAGATAATACTCAAGAAAGCTTAGTACTGAGTTGTTATGTTCTACAACATTTGGGTGTAACAGACATTTTTTAAACGTATTTTTATTTATTTCCAGATAGAAATACGATTAAACGATGACTAGTTTTGTACATTCATCTGCAACTAGTTTAGTAATATCACTCACTGGATTAGCTGTAAGCTTAATTGGATGGAAAAAATTAGTGGAGAGAAAAGTAAGTTCAGATTGGAAAAGTACAGATGTAACAATGTGTCAGGAAGATGACCTACCACACCTGAAAGAATTCATCTTTTACACTTTGGGCAGTTCTAGAGATCCGGTGAGCTAATAAACTCTACTTGAAGATGAATTTCTATGAAAACCAGTATCCATTTGATGTCCATGACGATCTCATTTTGTTAATACCTCTGATCTAAATTCGAAAGTTTGTCATGCTTCCATGCAAAACAATGAATTTGTGAATGTAGCTATTTATGGAAAAAAGTTCAAAGTTTTTTTCGGCATATCTCAAACAATTTTTGTCCAACATCTTAAGATATGTACGATTACGCAAAAGTGGGTTAAAGAACTTTGATTGTTGTTCTTCTTGCTTTCTATGGAACCATGACGAATCTGACCCAAACAACATTATCGATTTGAAGGAACAAGTCTCAGAAACTGACGTACGTCAATCGGGCAGTACGTAGGTTTCATTTTTGTACTAAAAAAACAGTACTTGACATTCTAATCGAATGTTAATATCTGTCTAGAGAAGGAGACCACACAGAGTGCGCTCGATCTGACATACACTACAACCGCATATCATCAATCAGAAAGTTACAATACATCCGCATCGGATGGCAAACAATCAAAATCGCCAAGCAGAAAACGAACAGCATCAGTTGCAGCAAAAAGTCCTTCCTACGGCTATATGTCAACTGGCAATCAATTAGAGTTTCATCTTGATCCTTCCTGTAAACATTCTCAGACTACTAATGATAGAAAAAATGAAGAGTTGCGCAAGAAACAATTCCATGTAATTTCGCCTGATTCTTCAGTTATGGCTAATAGAGAACAACTTGCTTCTCAGTCTTCTTCACCTTTTATTATTTTTCGATCTCTCGAGCACGCTGGTCCTCAGTCTACTAACGATACCAGCAGAATGACGGAAAATGCAGACGCTTCATCTTTGGTAGACAAAAAAGAAAAAATGAAATTTCGCTGTCACGTCTACAAATCACGTCAACAAGAAAATCGTTTATATTTAAATGATGTATCTATCCACGGTGTTGAATGTTTTGAAAATGACTGTGAGCCATCGGTGTACATTGCATCAAAACGATGCGATACCAACGGAACGTATGTAAACCAGCTCGGAAGTTTATTAGACACAATGATGTTTCCTCAACAAATTAAACGAGCAATATCCTATGTTTCATCATCAAATCTATCGGCATTTGCTCATGAGCCGAGAAACTCCCCTAATCGCTTATTATCAACAAAATCAACCGAAGTACTTCTCAAGCCAAGTTTAGTATTAGGTGGAATTTTCGGTAAGAAACTTCATTACTTTTATATATAAGACGTTAATGGATTTTTTCTTTGTCTAGAGAGAATGTCCAGTGTTCAACGAGCAAAATCAATCAACGAATTATCCAGACTTCGAGATGCCATACTGAGCTCCATTGACAGAAATGGAAGAGAAAGTATAGATTTAAACCCATAAAATATGACTCTGAACTCACAACATGTTTACTTAGATTCTTTATTGAAACTTCATCGAACATTTTCATCGCACTATGTCAAAACAAATGTTGTGTCTTTGGACGTGCCCATTGATGAGCGACGAACATCAGCAAAATCAGCAACAGAAATCAATGTTCCATCAGAACAGCTCACTCAAACGCCCAAAGACAATCGAGTATTCGATTTTGACAAAAAAGAATTTGCCAGAACTGAACCAACTTTTAATGTTCTTAAATGGCCCATTTTCGAGCGGAAAGATATGATGCAAACAAAATTGAATCATTCAAATCTTTTACATTCGTCCGAGGCAAACAACCAGCAGTCAAAAAATGAAGTGCAATCGAACTTAAGAGATGACACAGCTATAGAAAAACTTTTAGTTGATGGTGTTTTATTAGAAATAAATAGCCCATTGGAAGCAATGTTCCATGCAAATAGTAGAGTAAATGAGCGAAAACCAGGTAATACGAGAGAGAAGGGCGTATGCTTACTAATAATATCTCTTTTTCAACATCGCTAATTAGCATAAGTTGCTGATTTATAAAAAACGATTAGTTAATATTTTTCTGTTGCATTTATTTTAGATTTTGATCAACCAAAACAGAAACGCTCTCCAGCAGACAGTACAACTGATCAAATTGTTTTTTCCAGTCGAAAAATGACACCAGATGTATCAAATAAATTAGGAGCTGATAGAGCAGTGACTAAAATGAATTCTCTTACATTATTCGACAGTTCTACTCGAAAGTTAGAGAAGAGTTATCCCACCACGCCAAAATGTTTACCAATTGGTAGCGTAATGAAGCTAATCGAGCCAGCAGACGATCTACAACAAATGATGGAACAAACACAGGATTCAATACCAGCACAACCACCCGGTTCGGATCAGCAGTCGCAACAACAAACACTTTCCGGTAAAAGTACTTCAGTAGGTTCTATTAAACAAACACGATTTCGTGATCAAGAAAAGAACATACCAAAGAAAAATTTGCCGATGTATAATCCTTTGCTTGAAAAAAGCGATCCAATCCGTTCTGATCTGAATCTAACTGAAGCAAAGAAACAAAATTCAAGTTTTGATCCAGCTGTCAACGTACCATCTATCAAGAAAGAGTTACAACCAACGACATCGAAAACTTTAAATAAAGTAAAATGGGTAATTGAAACTCCAATTAGGAATGAAAAACTTGTACCAATAAATTACTTATCTCTTGTTCTTCAAAAATCTGAAACAGCCTCAGTAAGCGAACTGCAAAATTTTATTCCATTAAAGCGGCATGAAGCGAATTCGAGATTCCATATTATCGGCGATCCACACGTCCCTATGAGATTACAAGACGACCCGATATCTCAAAAAACTAGCATGAATGATTCAGATGTTGATTCAACAGTTGAAGATAGAGTAGAAAACGAAATCTATTTACATCAGCAGAGTTCACCAAAAAAATTAACTGTTGAAAGTATTAATAAAACCTCAAAAGATGAAAATGAAGAATTTGATATGGTGCCAAAACAGAAAAATTTTGATAGTTGGTCGCAGAATTCATTCAACAATCTTCAATCGAAGATAACCGATAATAAGCAGTCATTTAGTTTCAGTTTAAAAGAAGTAACAGAAAATATGATCAAAGATGATGTAACATCAAGTTCTCAATCAAAACAAACTGGTCAGCAACAACAAACAACTTCTGGAACAGCAAATAAAAATGAAGTGGCTAAGAATATTAGAAATTCGAATGGTATTCTTATTTTATAAGAACCGAATCTTTTTGACATAAACTTGTTCAGTTGTAGGAAAATATGATAATTCATCTTTAAAACTTGAATACAAGAAAAAGAATAAGTCTGTCAACGATAGAACTATTGATAAATGGACGAATAGAAAAAATGATAACAAGTATGTTTCAAAATTATTATTACAAATGATATTAAATGATAGAAAGAAAGATGAACCTCCTACAAACAAGACAGACAATTTGGTAAGAAAATTCTCTGCTTAATTTTAAAAAAATATTTGACATTTTTTATCGTTAGTCCGAAACTCCAGAGAAACCCATTGTTCTTCAAGATAATGATGTAGATGAAACTAGTTCATCTGCAGGCATTTTAGTATTACAACCAACAGTAGATTCTGAAGCAAATTATTTTACTTTGAATGATCAGAAGAACTTGATCACTGTTTCGGAATTAATATCCAATGAGAATGACGTAAAAGCATCAAAACAGAGTGGAATACATAGTCCACGAAATAGTTTAGGCCTGGCATGTGATTCAATCGAGTTAATGCATAAAAAAAAGCAAAATAATCAAGACCACCAGCAAACAACAGATATTGGAAATAATCAATCATCAAAACGCAAATCCGTATTGAGATCAAGTTTAAATAGTTGCGATCGACCCCAACAAAATGAAATGATTTCTTATGTAGCTATCGATGTAGAATTAGACAATCGACAAGCAATTCAAAAAGAAATACAACATCATTCATCACTCGGGAAAATGATACCGTGCAAGAGTCCAAAACCAGCAAGAGATTCTATAGAGTTGTTGAAAGAAAGAATAGTCTCAACAGGAACATTTTCATTCGGTTCTATTTATGCAGATGTTCAAAAATATCAATCAGATAGTAATGAAAAACACGTTGGATTTATACAAAAACAGGGAGATGTTCTTATAACACCGGTATTAAATGTTGGTCGTAGTAGTTACATTCAACAAGAGGTTTGTCATACTTGTTTTTGAAAAATAGTGTGAAATAGTTTGATTTTCGATGGATTTTAGCGAGAACATTCAAAGAAAACATCAAAAAAACACATATGTTCATATTCAAGTGATATAAGTAATAAGCACCATCAACTGTCAACTTATTCATCGGAAAGAGCGAAAAGTGACATATCATTTACCTGTACACGACAGTCACACATGACTGATATTGAACCGACTACAATAAATAGACTGACAAAGACAACTGAGGCAGCATCAAACGTAGAAAGTAAGACTAAGCAATGTTCATGTTACACACAGGTCTTTTGTTTTAGTATCTATAGTTTTATGGGTTACGAATAAATGAATAATCAATCTACTTTGTTTAGAAGTATGCCTCTCAAAGAGTAATTATGTAGAGATGATCGGGTTTAGTATGCAACCATTAGCAAGAAAGTAAGTGATTCTGATAACTGACATTATATGACGTATTAAGATGTATCTAATACGTAAGATCCAGACAGTTTCTTTAAGATCTGTTGAAGAGGTTCCAAGATCCCATTCCTCTTTTATGTACTATCTAATTGAAGACTTTTTGTACATTTATTATTCGCTTCTAGAACAACTTTTTATTATAGACAAGTCGTCGGTTCTGCGACGATGATTGACATCGATATTGATTTTCGAATCAATAATTGTTTGAGGTCATTACGCGGCTTCATCATAACTGTCATTATGATATTGTTTTATATATTTGTATTCGTGAACAGTGAATTCCGACGTCATTATTGGACAATAAAGGAGGAAGATGATAATAATGATTTAGGTTGAATTACAAAGAAAGAAACGAAGTCTATCCAAACACATTCTTATTCTATTAAAATTAAATAATAATTAGTATTATTGATGACATAGTAGTCATATGTTCTCGAATTAATTATATCGAATATCTTCTTAAATTTTTGATAAAATATTGAACGTTATTATTTACATACTATTGAAAAACACAGTGATCAGCAACCATTGTTCTCAGATTCATCATCATCTTGATCTAAAATATTATCCTTCAACATTCGAGTATGCCCGATATCTCCCTAGTGATCGATTCTTATATAAGAATCTTACCAGAAACATCTAAGTCTCTTACCAGTGTCTTACAAGATTCGAATCGAAATCTTATCAGTTTCTTATATAAGATTGTTTAAGATTTTCCATCGGCAGTCGTAAGTATCTTATAAGAAACTTATAAGATTTTCATAAGAGGTTCGTAAAAAATTCATAAGAAGTACTAAAAATTCTTATGAAGTTTTCGAGCCAATAGAAGCAACTTAATCATAACAGAAATCACCAAAACCAACTCACAAGTTGCCTTCTAGTAAACTAGAATAACATAAGAATTTTTGGTACTTAGGAATTTCTTACGAACCTCTTATGAAAATCTTATAAGATTCTTATAAGATACTTACGACTGTTGATGGGAAATCCTAAACAATCTTATATAAGAAACTGATAAGATTCCGATAAGAATCTTATCAGTGTTATCAAAAATATTCTGTCTAAGGCTGTCAATGTAAATTATCGTTCTTATTTTTCAAAAATGATTTTACTCTAGATGAATGGTTTTTGGATGGCTGACTTTACAATAATGTGAAATCCGTTACTACCTGAGTGCTTTTCTTTCTTCATTTACGGAAAAACTGCCTAAACTACTATCAACTACATATCTCAAAATTTTCAGCAAGCATTTTTTTTAGTAGCACAGTTGAAGGTTAGATTCAAATCTTTAGAAAATTCTCTTTATTTAAGACTTATATAGTTTTGACAATTGAAAATATCAAATTTGTCTTATATAATTGTAACAAAAAAGTTAAAATGACTACATCATATTAGATTTAACATTACTTTTAGTTATTGTAATAAAAGCTTTTGTTACAGGTATGGATCGCTTTCCAGACATTGGGTTTGTTTGTATCTATAGTGGTGGCCTCTATTCGGATTTGAATTGATGATTCTAATTATAGTATATTATTCACCCACTATGATTGGCTCTAATCAGTCTTATCACTACTCTCGTTTTGGAGAAACACTAACCAGTATATAGGCAAGGTAATTACTGAGATGTTTAGCTATATTACAACTTTTGACAGACGTTTTCCAAACATTAACGCTTTTAGTCTCACATTAATTAAAAATTAATATACCTGTTTTTTGTTTCCTAATCAGTAGATCAAGAATATATGTTCTCTTGATGATTTCAGATGTCTGACTTAGATTTCACTTCTTTGACTACTTCACGAACCGATGAAAATGACATCGAAATAATTCAGTCAAATGGTTCTGATCAAATGGAATTTATATCAGATCATTTTGGTGAAGTATCAGATGATATTATAGAACCCATACCACCGTCATCAATTATTGCCGAAAGATCATCAACAGTATCTGTTCCTGTGATACGCACCAGCACTGTCGATACTGAAGATTTGGAAGTAAAATCTAGATGTAGTATAGTTTTGCGTTCTTTCTTTTAATTATTATTCTTTCCTTCCAGGATGTTGAAGATGAAACAATAGTTGAACGTTTATATGGTCTCACAGAAATGTTTCCTGAATGGTTGAGAAATTTTTCTGGACATTTATTTCATTATTCATTTAGTTATTCAACCCGTTTTGCAAAAATTTTCAAGGGAGGTAATTAAAGGTATTTTTATTTTAACATGAATTTATACTATTTTTTTTCTTCTATTTAGCTGCATGGTTTTTAGGTTCATCATTTGTTGTTTTGGTTTTACCTATATTAGTCGAATTAGAATTGTCACAAGTTGCAGAGTATCAAGCGGCTCAAACTCGTCAGGTAATTAATTTTAAATTTTTGTCTAGCTGCTGGTAGGATTCATTTAAACAATTCGACATTTCTGAATGAGGGAACACTTTTGTCATTTGTTCTTGACTTTACTTGGGGACAATTAAAAGTTGGAGATTGTCCTCTCAATTCTATTGCATTTATATTTGTGTTTTTGTTATAGATTTTGCTGGGACCATCAGCAACAGTCAATACAGCATTGTCTGCTGGTGCGCATATGCTTTCAAGTGGCGGCATGTATAGAAGCCAATAAAAAATTGAAAAAACAATAGCGTTATTTTTATGTATTTTTGTTGTTTCACTATGTTTGTGATAGGCCTACTTGAGAGAAGTATCGAAAAATAAACCCCTTGTTTTATTTTTTTCAATACAATCCATTCAGGGTGTTATTTATTTATTTTTTAATAGTTTAGATTGTGAAATACATTTCACGCTAAAAACAACAACAACTTCAGTCGTTACTACGAATTGTTTTTTTTTCTTTCTTTTCTTTTTAACAATTTTTCGTGTTAATATGATGTATAAAAAAGCCCAAGCAACGTTTTTTTTTTCATTCATTTGTTTGTCATTGAAGTGAATTCTTCTTTTTTTTCGCCATCTTCCTAACGCACATTGTTGTTTTTTATTTTTTTATATATAAAAATAGGCTTTTCTTTTGCATATAAAAATATATCTATATACGTGCACTATTATCTACAATATAGACTTTATTTATTGTTACTACTCTCTTAGTAAACTAGTTTATTGCATGATTATATCTGATCGGAATCTTGCCGTTATAATATATCGCTACTTTACTGTTGCTCGTTTAAAAGTTATTCAGATTTTAGTCGAAATTGGTTCTATTTAGAATCATGGACAATAGGGATAGTTTCAGCCTTTGATTATGTATAACCCGTTTTCTATGAAACAAAACAAGGACAGATAATTCAACTTTCTATGTCCAATTTGAAAAGTTTACCTACATAGTTTAACTAGTATTTTTTTCTACAGTGCTATTCTCAAAACTGCTGTAGCAATTCGATAAAAAATCTTATAACATTAAGAATATTTAATTTCTCAATAGTAAATATTGGTAGAGATAGCAGACCATATGCATTGACTGAAATATTCACTCTTCGATGAATAGTTATAGTGCTGCTCAGAATGTGTGCCATTTTCTTGCTTGTGTTGCTTGTTTTATTCAGAAATAATTCGAAACAAACTTCTTTAATACTCAATCTACACGTGGTTCAATTATATTTTGTAGATCATTCTAAGTATATAGTGGTCAGAGAGATGGATTATGAAGTATGTAAAATAGAAAAATAATAGATTTTTATTTATTAATATATTTTGCACATTTTTCTAGTTTAATGATCAATATCAATATGGTGGAGGCTCTTCTACTACCGCTGTTCAACCGGACTTAGTTCGGCAAGGTAGCACTATGATAAGATTTTCTTTGTTCATGAAATTACAAAAGTATTATTATTTTTTCTGATTTTAAGATAGTGAAAATTATTATGATCCTTATACGTCAAATCGAGAAATATTAACTCATTTTGCTGATTTTAAACGTGCAATTAATGAAGGAAATGTTACTCTTATATCACATTATTATAACACAAAGTAATAAAACAATTATTATCTGATATCTATGTCGAAACTTATTAATTTTTAGTTACACAGCCTGGATGATGAGTTTCAGTATGGATTGGCCATCGAGTGATGTTTTGCAAACTCATATTGGAGGTGAGGATTGATACCGTAAAATCTATCGTTGATTTTTATGTTTTTCTATTATGTTTCAGATGATAAATTATTTTTAACATTATATAAAGAAATGTATTTTCGTCATATTTATGCCAGTAAACCTGTAAGTTTTCAAGAAATTACTTTAGAATTGAAAATTTATATTTTTAATAACAACTTTTCTTCTAGGGTGGTGTGACATTGGAAGAACGTATCGATTCATATGTTAACTATATCGATTTATTCAATATGGTATTAGCTAAAGAACCGTTAAAACTTGATTTACCTGATCAATGGTTATGGGATATTATTGAAGAATTTATTTATCAAGTATTATCATTTCATATTATTCTTACTAAGTGTAAACTTTATCTAATTTTCTAGTTTCAATCGTTTTGTAATTTTCGAACAAAACTACAAAAACGTACAGATGATGATGTTGATCAATTAAAACGTAATTCTAAAATGTGGAGTATTCATGCTGTACTTAATGTATTGCATAGTCTGGTGGATAAATCAAAAATAGTTGAACAACTCGGAGCGATTAAAAAAGGAGGTGAGTGATGAGACTTATTTAAACATACTATAATATGAGAATATCTCTCATTTTTTGTATAGTTCCATTTGATGATGGCGGCGATCAAATATGTCAAACCAATTTGTATAAAATGTTGGGTTATTTCAGTTTGATTGGATTATTAAAACTTCATACATTGACTAGTGACTATTATATGGCATTAAAAACAATCGAATGTATTGATTTAGACGTAACAAAACAAGTATGTGTCCTTCAGATAAGAGAAGATCATATTTTGGCGCTTTCTTTGATTTTTCCGAATGGTTTAAGGCCTCCCCTCCTCAGAAATTGTGATTTTCTAACAAAAAATCGGTTTTGAGATAAGCACATGGAAAGATAACCTGAAGTGTTTACTTTCAGAATCTGTATCGCTTTTGGTTATAGAATTGAGTTTTCGGGGATTTTGGGCAAGTTTTCCAGAAGCCTCGGAAAATCGGGTCTTCAAATAATACTCTTTTCCTTGACACTTATGCAACTAAAAATTTTCTGAACACTCAGATTTGTAGAGCAAATGTTTCTGATCGAAATAAGACCTCGCACAACTCTGTATGACCTTGTATCAAAAAGTTACAGGCATTTTCCTAGAAGTCCTAAAATTGAGTATTTCATACAGCGCCGGCGCCGATTTTTGAATTAGGCCTTAGTTTTTTGTCAAAGTGAGTATTTTTTGAAAACCCGGAAGGTTGTTTTGGATTTTGGAGATTGTTGATGCCTGGAAAACCAACAAAGGCTTAATTGAAAAATCGGCGCCGGTCAGTCCATGTAGTTAGGTGTCTAATTTAAAATAAAACAAACCCGAACTCTCCAGTTTGAAGTATATTAAAAAATCTTGGGACACACTTCAGCGTCTTTTTTGGACCTTGATCTCTGGAAAACTCCTAAACCATAAGATTTGGAGACAAAAAAAAATTTTTCATTCCCATAACTCATTAAGCCTAACATTTATGAAAAGTTTCGTCAAGATCGAATGTACGGTGTCGGAGATAATTTCTGAGGGGTTTTATGAACACATACTATTCATGTGCTAGTGTTTCTTTTAGCATGTGTATTGTCAAGTTCCACATTGTATTGTTGCAACGAATTATCATGCTGGCTATTGTTTTACAATGATGAGACGTTATGAAGATGCAATACGAATATTTGTTGATACATATCTTTACGTATTACGTATCAAAACTGTTTTCACCACACAAACATTTCAGAATGATGCGGTATGCAGTTTAGAAAAAAGAAAGAAAGAAGAAACGTTCATATTAAATTTTAATTCTATTTTTTTCTAGGTCAATAAAACAGCCGAACAAATGTTATTATTGTTATCAATCTGTTTAACACTATGTCCAATGAGAATAGATGAAGTCGTTTATCAACAATTACGCGAAAAATTTCAAGATAAATTAAATAAACCATTATTAACTACTGGGTATTTATCAGAATAAAGATCATAACTCAATTTATTTTAGAAAGCAGTTTTCTTTTCTCTGCTCATAAAGAATGCTGGTAGAGTCTTCAATTAAATTCTCAATGTTTTTTTCTAGAGCTGATGGTAAAATGCAATTTCGTGATTATTTTGGTTTTGCGTGTCCGAAGTTTATTTCTCCTTCTCCAACAATTTATGATCAAAGAACAGATCAACAATGGGCAGTAAGCTCTCCATTGATTTCAAAGCAGATGGCAGACTATTTTCATATGATATATAAATTCATTTCTATACGTTTAGGAACCGTTTAACAAACAAATTGAGGTATTTACGGAAGAACTTCAGGAGCAAATAAATATACCAGATGTGCGAAGGTATGTGTTTTGTCATGTGGTGACGAGGTTTTTATTTATTGTTTGTCTATACTCATTAAAGTTATTTGAAATTGTATACAACATTGAATATTGATAAATTGGCAGGATTTATGGAAAAGGTCTTGAAAGAAAAGAATCTATTATTTGATCTTCATATAACTTTTTTTCTTTTTTTAGACTCCACAAGAAGTCAAAACTATTTTGTTAACATTTAAGGTTGATAACAATTGATACGAATTTGTGTCCAAACTTATCAAAAAAACATTGTTCTTTTCTTTAGCATAAATTAAGTCGAAATGATTGGGCTCAAAAAAAAGAAGAAGATTTTCAATCGTCAGCTGATATTGATTTTTATGTCGATAAAGTATGTATAATGCTGTATTCTTTGCACGAGGGATAGTCCTTCCTAATAATTCAAAGTTTTTCTTTTTGCTGTTAAAAGATTTTGAAAATCTTTTGTTTCGTTAGAATAAAACAGTAGTACAGTGAGCGATAATTTGTTTTGAATGTTGTACATATTCGGAGATATTTTTTACTCAATGTCTAATCTTTGAATCCTCGCGACGGTTCCGAGTATATAGACAGATAGGAAATTTCTCTGGATCTTTCAGATATTTACCGATACATTGTGAAAACTGCATTGGCCTTGACATTTGGCTTGAGAGAACAAAGATATCGAAGTTATCAGTTGAATATCTTTCGAATTTTCATACGAGTTTTTATAGTTAAAAACATTATTTTATAATATTTATTTCTAGGAAATTATTCATATTGCTGATACAAAAGTAACTCGACGTTACAGTGATTACTTAGTAAAACAAATTCTCAAGTATGAAGAAGTAAGTTTCTCGTTTTAATGTAATACCAAGTCTTTGATAACTAAATGTTATATTACTCTTTTTTAGCTCACTCGATCGATTAGTGAAGGCTTTGGTCTACGTTATAACAACAAATAATGATAATATCCATTCAAAATACGTGACGACGACACAAAAATTCGTTTATATTGTTATTTCTTTTGATGTGTTTTTATTGCTGTTGTTACTCTCTAAGCGTTAAAGTTATACTGTTTTTTGTTTTTGTACCGTCGTCGCGTCAATAGACTCTCGTAATGTAATAACGAAAAAAGCAAACTGTTGTAAAACTTATTAATAAGAAATTATATTCTAAAATTAAAACATGTATCAATTCTCTTCTATTAGCATGCCTAAAACTTGAGTATGGGATAAAATAAAAATCTTCATTTCAAAAACTATGGTATATATTTACTCAAGAAAAAAGATTTGACTTGTCAAAAAATATTTATTCTCACTAGTTTATGAAACAAGGTTACGCTATTTGTGACAAACACAAAACTAACCAATTTCCACACTGTGTATCGATGCAGTTTATGTATAAAAAGAATATCGTGAAAGGTAATTTAAAATGGATTTATGTTTGCAATGTTGCATTAAATGATTCAACCTAAATATTAGAAGCAATGAATATTTATTAAATAAAATAACTATCAATTATGCTTTGTAGTATGTTAGAAGAGTCCGAAACTCAAACATTCATTACTCGAAAATTAACGTTTAAAAATGATGAGCATGATGATAATGATGAAAATGTATCCATTACAATTTTGGAGGTTCGTTTCTAAAGTAATTTATCCTTTAGGTTATCAATTTTGATTTTGTTCAGAGATGTGAAACATCCTATGGACTTTATTTATGGCCTGCGTCTCCTGTATTAGCACAATATTTATGGCACTACCGTTCTACTTTTATTGGAAAATGTATTCTAGAGGTAAATTAATCTATATATAAAATGTTCAACTGTTCTAATATTTGTACCTTGGAAGTATAGATTGGTTCTGGAACATCTTTGCCAGGTATTTTATGTTGCAAGATCGGAGCAGAAAAAGTTATCTTATCAGATATAGAAAATTGTTTAAAATTAATAAATGAAGTTGTAAAAGTGAATAATGTAGCTGATCGTATTTATATTGAAAAATTGAATTGGTATGATAAAATTTCAGTTGAAAAGTTATTGGAAAAACATCATCCAGATATAATAATAGCTTCAGATATATTTTTTAATAAAAAAGGTATTTACTCTATCTAACTAAAACATTTTAACGAGCTATTGTGTTTTATTTGTAGACTTTGAATCAATTATAGCAGTGTTAAATTTATTATTTGAATATGGAAAACCGTCACTTATATGTATAACAACTGTTGAAATAAGAAGGTTTGTTGCAAAGTAATAATCATCTGAATAAATTTTGAATATGTATGGTTGTGGGGTTGTTTTAGTCGTAGCACAATGTTGAAACTGAATTATTTTCTCCGTTTATGGAATTTGAACGTCGAAGTAGTACCGCTGAATGATTTTAATGGAGATGTAGAAGATATTGCTTGCTCCAAGTATCCCGCTGGACATGATATTCGACTTTTAAAAATATCAAGGCACCGATCTGTTTGTTAATTTTTTAAATAAAATATTTTGCACTATGGGTTAGTGACATTTTAAATAGTAATACGTTGGTTTTGCTTCTAGGTGTTCTATTTTTATATCAAGTCACCTTAATGAATGTCACCTGAATTAATACATTGATAGGAGCGGATGTGGAGACAATGTGCTTCTCATACAATATTATTTCTCTAAGCATGATTTAATCGAACTAATAGTGCATAAAATAAGCACATTTTCCCCTTTCCAGCATATGCCAATAACCTAAGTTTGGAGACGCTACTGTCTCTTACTCATATCAATATTTAACTTTTGTGATGATCTCTCAGCAGATCCTGGAGCTAAAATTTGTCAAAACAAGACCGGAATTCACGAATTAGCAATGGCAATGAAAAAACTGTCACACCTTGTGTCCACTCGCTATCAAAAACAAACGGCAAGTCATACGCGACAATTTATGATGGTATATGGCGACATCTATTAAACAGAAAGCAAGATTGCGAAAATCAAAAAGCTTTTGTTATTACGTAATTTGAAAACAATTAGTCATCAACGTTTCTGATACAATCTGAAATTTCCAAAAGTTTAACGTATTTTGTAAGTCAGAGTTGCATCGATATACGCATGCATCTATCCAATCAAAGAAAATAATCATAAATAAATAAAATTGAACAGAATAGAAAACAAAAGGAAAACTGAACATTCTATCCGTTAAGGACGGGACAAGGTGTTTAGTAGTTTAGATTGCAGTGTAAAAAATATAATATTGCGCGACGGAAAATAGTCGCGTGCACACCTGGAAACGACTGGCATATGTATGACATTTCAAAATTTTTTCCCCAAAGATGTTGATTATAAATATTTCGGATTTTGTTGGCAGAAAGCAATAGTATTTTTAGTTAGTGGAAAGAGAAGCAACCTCTCTGTATCTTCCTTTTGTTACATCATTCCTGAATAAACACGCTCTGGAGTGCTCTTCCATTCTGGCCCACACTTGAGAATAATAAAACGAATAGAAGTTATCACTGGAGTATTGAAAGTCAAATAAACGAACGCTTTCTTATCTGTTTTGTGTATAGTATTTTCGTTAATTATGTTTTATTCTTTTGCGAAAAGTGAATGGATTGAGGGAAGATTAGCTAGTACGTTACTAGTAAATCTGATATGTTGGGAAATCTACAACTATTAATCTTGAAAAAAATTGTCTCTTCCATTCTGTTTTCTTTCAAGCATATTCTGATACATTTCTCCTTTATTTTCTCATGAACGAGGAAGTAGTCTACAATTCTTGCTGTTCCGTAAAATGCTAGTAACTCCTGATCCAAAAGGGATGAAATCATTTTCTTTTTATGTAGTCCTGATCTTTCTCTATCTACGATATGAATTTAAAGATTTAGCTGCTAATAGTTACTGAAAGACAGCTATTTTACGATCGAGCTCCCTGAAAATGAGACCCTGACATAAGAGTTTCTTTCCAAAAAAGTTCATAACTCATTCTAGGAACGTTATTTCGACTTCAAACTAGCAGGTTATACTCTTTGACGACTGTAGACTATTCAGCCAAAGTATGAAGATTGACTATTGTGTGTTTCCTAAAATTTACATTTCATCTCTTTGGATCAGAAGTTACTAGCATTTTACGACAAAGAAATGAATCGCTTAACGATCCAGTAAAAGAGGCCGACACTGGTGGGGTGATCAGCATTCGGTAAGAACTTTGACCACACAAAATTAGAAGCACATCGCTATCATGGTTTTTGAGTTACAGGGGTGACACTACTTTTACGGAATACTATGTCTGTTCACGGTAATACTCAGGTGAAATATTAGTGAAGAAAACACCATTAATATGTTGAAAAAAAGCCATGTCTAACTTTACTTGCAGCCGATAAATAGAAATAAAGTACAATTGACCAACGTTTTATCTTTTTGTACAACATGTGTTTCGGATCATGAAAATTGTGATAAATATAGTTCGAGCTGCGTATGTTCGTTCTAAGCTATCTTTAGTTAATGAATGAATTATTTTTTTGTTTTTGAATACCCTTTCTCATGATATGGATGAGTTAGTTGCTGTATCCTACTGCTATATTCACGAGTTTGTTATCCACTTTGTTTATACATAAACGAAAGGCAAAAAGTCAAGGCTAATAGAATTTTCAGATCAATTTCATGATACGTCAACAATACTTGGCACTATATGAGACACTTTGATAGCTAAGCGCAAAGATGCTCTTAATTGGAATTATTTACTTTGCTTAGTCGAGAGAATTAAAATATACCTCTAGATTTATGTTTCTGTCGCATGGAGTGTCTGTTTGTATATGGTCATGTGTTTGATTATTAAATAGAAAAACAAAAATATATTTACGAATGTCTGTATACTGAAAAATATTTTTTCAAAAAAGGAGTGTATAGACTTATAATAATAACAATAATACGAACAATCATAAAAAATGTGTGCGTGTACGATTGACATCCGGATGAGAGAATGTCGTATGTCGTCAGCAAGTATTTGTAGAAGAAAACGTATTTCAACAGAAAGATGAAGAAAACAAACTGCAGAAAAAAAACACTGAGTAATTGAAAAACTATTAGATATTGCTCTTTCTTATGTGTGCATGCCTTTTTACGTATTTGGTGTTGTTGTTTTTTCTCTTTATTGTAATGTTTTTCAGACAGATTTGATTCTTTCTTATATACATTACCTTTTTTCTATCTACTCACAACACACAGATAAACGCATTGAGACAAAGAACAAGACGAAAGAAAAGAATAAAAAAATGAAAATAGCAAAAGAAAATTCATCATCAGCGTTGGGAACACATCAATTTCACTCAAATAACGCACAACTACTCACATTGCCACGATATTTTTCTTTCTGTTCTTCATCATCATCGTCGTCTTCAACATCTTGTTCTCCGACTACGTCAAATCAAGCATTTTCTTTTAAAACGACTTCTTTCTCCTGTAGTCAACAACAAAAACAGCAAAATTATTTTGATAATCAACAAGTTTACTTTCAACTAGCTGGTGACAAATATTATGATGAACAACGATCGCCACTCTCGTCATCTGATGCTAATGTGTCAGACACATGCAATAATTTTCTAACATCTTATGCGAGTTATGATTTCTATGATCGTCCAACTTATTTTTCATTAGATCATTCAATTATTAAAACAGAGGACGAAACACTTTATCCCATACAACAACAACAAGTTGAACTTGATTATACCTGTTTATCATCAACTGTCACACCGCATGCTCCATCAACAGTGCCATGTTCTCCGCCACCCGAATCATTAGAAACACCCATTTATACCGAGCTTGCACAACATAAGTTGTCATCGCATGAAAAATATATTCCGTGTATCAATTATTCTCAAGAAATATTTTATCAACAATTATCAACCGTCGAAGTATCAGATTCAAAGGTTGAGCAACCAGTAAAAAAATTAACCAAAAAAATGACAACCTCTACAATATTAACACCACCGACATCTAAAAAAAGCGTTTATGCTCGTCTTGACTGTCCACAATTTGGAACCTATGACATATGTCAAGAAAAAACAGTTATTGGAAGACAAAATAATCGTCGACAAATTGATATAAATATGGGTGTGTATGAGGTGCATACAAAGAAAAAACACGTTGAGAATCTTGTTTTCTTTTAAGGTGCATCATCAGTTGTGTCACGAGTTCATTTCGAGCTGTACCTTATTGGTAATGAATTTCAATTAAAATGTATAGGTAAAAACGGTATATTTATTAATACAAATTACACAAAAATGGGTGCTACCACAGTTCTACCAAAACAGTGCGTATACGAAGCTTTATATTGTCGTGTTGTACAGGGTGAACAATAAATCATTGAAACTTTTTTTCATATTCAGATGCAGTTTACGTTTCCCAAGTACAACAATTTCTATTACATTTTCATCGTTTTTAAACAATCGTCAGGATATTTCTCGACATGCTTCAACAGATGTTCAGCGTTTACCTCATTCGTCAACATCAACAACTTCAATCTTACAGCAGACACCACCACTATTAGCACCTTCCCTAACCCAAACATTTCATCAAACAGTCTCAACTGTACCACAGTCACAACAGTCAATTAATCATCAACACAATGGTCATAATTCCATTAAAAATAATCACATAAGTGGAAATATAATACCACTTACGATCAACGTACCTTCCGTTAAAGAAATGAACGGATTAAAACTACCAGGGATTGAAGTTTTTCATAGTTCCCCACCTCCTATGTCTCCAGTGAATCAGATTAGGTTTGTCGTTGCTTTATATGAATCTGTATCCACATGTTGGATTGTGTTTTAGTTCAATTACTTCATGTTCAGTCAGTCCGATCAGCAACACATACAATGATCATAATGATAACTTTAATTTAGGACGAATGTTTAGGTAGGACTGGGCTGACTAATACCACTATGGCTCAGTCAAACATTTTCTGTATTCTAGTTCGGATACGCGAACATCAGACACGCCAACAATTCATCGTAAATCATCAAATGATTATTCAGCTGATTTAGATAAAAATTCTTCAGCAAAACCGTACGTTTGACCGCGCTGTTATTTCTAGTCCTTTTATATTTTATCTAATTTTAGACCATTTTCGTACGCGCAACTGATTGTACAGGCTATAGCTTCTGCAGAAGATCGGCAAATGACGCTGAGTCAGATATATACGTATATATCAATGAAATATCCATATTATGAGTCAAATAATCGTGGATGGCAGGTGAGAAACAATCATTTATCTTTTTATTTTCTCACACAAACATTTTTTTCACTTTATAGAATTCTATTCGACATAATTTGTCGCTAAATCGTTATTTTATACGTGTGGCACGCAAACAAGATGATTCCGGTAAAGGTTCATTTTGGCGTTTGGATCCAACATGCGAAGATAAATTAATTGAACAAGCATTTCGCCATCGAAAACAACGTGGTCTTAGCGGTGGAAGAAGTTTTGGTGATAGTACATGGTAAATACAAAAGAAGAGCGATGTAGTTTCTGCTTATATCACTTCTGTTTGTTACTTGTAGTTCTGATCCACAATCTCCGACACCGTTTGATCAATCTGATTATCCCTTGTCTGATACAAATAATAACTTGACGACAAGTCGTCCAACAACCCCCTTTTCTCCATTTGATGGTATTTCTCCCTCTCGAGACAAAACTAACAGCAGAAAATATTCATTTACAACAAATCAAGAACAAATTTTAACACGTAAGAATTTATCACATGTTTGAGAATAATAACAAGTGCTTTGGCTTATCTTTTAGCTGGATGTAACGACGAAAGCGAACCAAGTAAGAAAAATCAACTGAGAAAGAGAGAGAGAAAAGTTCAGTATTTCTCTTTTTTTTTGCTTGTAGGAAAATCTGACAATAATAATCGAACAATTCCTTTTCCAGTATTACTCTGTTCGGCTAATGGCAATAATGTCTTAGGCGTCGTTGAACCATCATTACTTCGTAAGTGTTTTCTGCTTGGTATGTCTGTCCCATCATCGACAGCGTTAACGACAAATGTAACATCTTTACCATCCACAACAATAACAACTAATATTATGAACGATAAAAAGGATGATAACAGCAGTCTATCAACAACAATTTTATCAAAATATCCAAACGGCAATGAAAATAATACAAATTATGATGGCAGACATGTACAACAACCGTACAATCCGACACCATTAACGAAAAGTCTCTTATCTATGAAAACGGTAACGGCAGTTCAAAGCGATAGTGAATACAAGCTGTAAGTTTATAATTGTTTGAAATCATAGTATAAGCTAACATGTGAAATAGTATTCTCCAAGAAATACTATAGATTGACTTTATGCGGTATCTATTGTACAACTTCTCGTTTTAGAAATATTCTCTCTGGTGTGAACAATACTTCGAGTGTGCCAGCGGTAAATAAGACTGTAAGACGTAGAAAGCCTAAAAAGCGAACTGCTAATGGCCAAAAATCGAGTAATATAATTACCAATACACAGCAAAATAATGATGAGATAATAATTCAAAAACAGGATCATGAACAAAATGCACAACAAAACTTAGTTGTCTCTGGCGAACATGATGATCAACAACGTATTCCTTTATATCAATTACTTTGCGATATATTACAACAACCAGAAATAAGTCGTTTATTACGAGATTATTCTGAATCAATGACAAATGATGGCGATTCATCCTCAACAACAGCCACATTAGCGATTCCTCAACAACTTATGACTATTGTATCACTTGCTAATGCATTGTACAATAACAACACATCACAATTAACATCAGCGTTAAAAATTGATGATGATAGAAATGAAACAGTTGAAGAAGCAAAAGAGATTAAACATGAAACAGACGTGCCATCTTCGAGTATTCACCTGCCAGATGATCAAATACAAGAGGATATTCAAGATTTAAGAATGTCGAGTAATGATGAACCGATGACGACACAAGTACAAGAAAATGATGTTCAGTTATCGGAATATGAAACACTATTAACTAGTCTAAATGAATTAGCACAAAATATAGATGACGAATCTCTCACGCATTTATTATCGGCCATAGATCCAAATATTTTAGCTACTATTCGTGCAACAACGTGTCAAGAACAAGCGGCAATCCCATCAACCACAATAAAAAGTGATGAACAACAGCAGCATAATCAGCAGGATGAATTACAACAAATCATATCAGAATTGTTTCGTAAACAAAAGTTATATAATTTACCGGCAGCCGCTGCCTATTCAAAAAATGATGAACAAACTACGAGTACGTATCACTTAACTTTTATATCCATTGGAAGTAGACATAATTTGTTTGTTGTAAGAAAAAGTACAAATTCACGTTTTGGTAATTGATGCGGAAGTTCTTGTACACTCCTTTTTACTGTGTTAAATGACTATGTTAAAATGACTACATCCTGTTTTCACGAGATATGCAGTTCTTTTGTGAAAATAAGACTATAGCATGCGACGTTTCCTGTTCAAACATGAAAAGATAGTTTTCATGTACTCTGAATCTCCATTGTGTGAACACAACAGGTTTTGTTTATCATTTAGACGTGAATCATGAGACAGAACAAAATCAACAACAATATAATCCGGATACAATCATGAATGATACCAACGTACAACTTATTTCAAATTATTCGTTAATGTTATCGTCGGCCACACCATTACAAAAAAACAAAGAGATATCCACTTTATGCTTTGACCCAAAAATAGATGCATTTCAAGCCGTAAAGAGTGAAAATAAAGACAAACGATCGTTTAATGACAAACAAAAACTAAAACGTTCAGTTTCAAGTCAATCACAAAAGAGGTTAAAACGAAAAATATTTTCTTCTTCGCCATCATCACCAGTTTTATTTGAGCAAATCACGGCAGCAACAAATGAAACTGAATCATTATTAAAAAAATCAAAATCAACTGCGAATGACGATGAGCAAAACCATATCGATGATTCCTTAGATAAAGAAGTTGAAAATTATACATTCGGAAATAATTACAAACGTAAAACGAGTATGGATAATGGTAAAACTGAAGAAGATAATATGGTAAAAAAGTTCAGAAAAAATAGTACAGACGAAAATAAACAACAACAGTCTATTCCCTTATTATTATCAACCATTGTCCAGGGTGAAGCACCAAAGCCAGATATGTAAGTATTATAATAGAATATAAAGACTAGGTGAAATAAATAAAGAGCAAAATCACTATATGAAACAGACGATCACCATGTCATGATTTGCTCCTTATCGAAACGTATCTGATTTTAATTTCCGCAGAAATTGGTAGAACATAATGAAGATATTTTGTCTTTCAAGATGTACCTTGCACAATGCTGATCACGTTTAAATAAGTTACTCCATTCACAAAATCCAACTGTATCTTACAGTCGTAATATTGTCCAAATTCTTGTATAAAATTATTTTAATAAAAATTAATTTTTTCCTTGATAGTTTTTGAGTGAAATTTAGATGAATCGCACAACCCAGTCCAATACTCTTAGTATAAAGCGCGTAAAACAGATGATTCCAAGTATAAGCAGAAAAAAAACGATCTTTTTGTCCTGACACGAAACTGACAAAGATATTTTTTTTCCTTACAGTTTGTTTTTGCCAGATATTTGTTCTACGTTACAAGTTTTTGCTATTCTAGTTCGTGTGATACAGACCAAAGTTAAATAAACAATCCGGATATATGCTTATAAACTGAAACAAATGACAGTATATCTACAAGTGTTAAAACAGGTTCGTGTAATTTATTGGCAAAAAAATCCAATACATGTGATATCATACACAAATGCAAAAAGTATTTTATTAAATCCTAATAAACGACTAAACTTTGTCGATAGAACAGTAATCGATAGCAGTGGCGATAAACAACGTTCTAAAAGTACGAATTAATTTTGTTTTGTAATATGTAGATAAAAGTATGGTTTTTTGTATGTGTTTATTACATTACGTGTGTCCTTATATAATTGCCTTGTTTGTACATTCTATAGATTTGTAATTGTTGAACAGTTTGTATTTTCTCTTCTCTTGCTATACCACACAGCACTTTAATTTCTTCTAACCGGTTGCTATTTTCCTATCTGCTCTTTGTTGCTTGCTCATTTTTTTGTTTTATATAAAATTTATGTATACAGTGATGATTACGATGTTTTATGTAATAAGAATCTCTTCCCTTTTATGTAGAAGACTTTTTATATACTCAGGAAAATAAACACTGTTTCTTATCACCTCCTTTTCGATATTTTACCAGTTCGCTATTAGATCTAGATAGAAAAATGTTCACACTTAAGAACTCAGTTCATTAAGCTGTTTTTTACTACATCGTATAGTTGAGATAGTGCATTTGCTATTTATCGATATAAGACAAACTTAGCATGTGCATTTTTTTTATGGTTGTTTACACACGAAAACAAGCAGCCATCCACCTCTATAAATATTGTTATTTTCATTTTCTGATCTTATTCTTGACGTTGTGTCAAAAAACAACAACTAACTCTTATATGTATTTGTGTGTATTTTTGAAACGAATGTGATGTGTTTTTTGTTTTGTTCCAACATCTCCATTTCAAAAGATCAACTTTGAAAGGGAAAAAACTAACAATTGAATTCATTTTATTTACTTCTAATTAATACATTTCTTAAACTCATCATATGTGCGTTATGCAGGATGTTCCACAATAAAAGTCACTTCCATTGCTTTTTTTTAAGAAGAGCAGTAAGGCATTCTACCCGTTCACAGTGGGCATCCAGGCGGAAATTAGGTGAAAAATCGAAGCTGCTCCTAATTCAAATACAAATAGTGGAAAATGTAGCCCTTTCAAAGGGCTATCGAATAGTATATAGATGTCTATTTTGAAAATGGTTTCTACCACGAGAAATCACGGTACACAAAACCGATTACGGATATCGTTCCTACATACCAACGGAATAAGACAACGGAAATGCATCGAGACTGTTGTTAGACACAGAATTATCCTCGTACCTAGTCAAGAAACCTCTAGCACGAGAAATGGAGAGATAAATTTTTTCAGAAAAGTGTGCTATCTGTTTCTTTGACCACTATAGTGACTATCATACTGTTAAACAGATGATTTCTAATCTATTGCTTGTTTATTTATTATGTTAGATTCGTTCAAATCAATTAGGTGAATTAATGAAAAATTTAGCCAGAAATCATCAAATTTTCCTCCCTTCAAAACTCTTATAAAATGAATACACCTTGTTAGTGAATAATTACTTCGATGTTGGTATGTTGAGATCTTTTCTCTTTTAATTATAAGAAATATATAAAATGTTTGATCTTACAGTACTCTCATACAGAAAAGGTTATAATACTGTTCACTACACAATGTTTAAATCAATATATCTGACAACAAGATTTGATTGTATTTAGGTAGATTTAGTATTTTCTAATCTCATTTCAACTCCAAAAGGTTTTTAAGTCTAACGAGGGAACCTATGGAGATGAAGCACTCCGATTTCGTTCGTTCTTGCGTGGATCGATAGGGCATGTGGAGTGGGTAAAAAGCCTAAGAGGGTTCGGGCGGAGACTTTTCCCTTGGGAAGTTATGGGCATTTTACGCATTTTCTCACGTCAGCGGAAAACAGGCAAAATTAAAAAAATCACAACTCTGTCCAGGGAAGTCGTAGAGGGCTGAAAGTTTTTTTGGTGGTGAGGATAAAGGTTGTCTTCATATCCTGCAAGTTTCACAGTTCTATCGCTTTCTCTCATTCAGAGGCAGAACTTTCCATAAAGGCAAGGAAACGCCATGAGAACACTGCTTCGTCTGTCTTACACTTTCAAATCTGTTTGACTTTCGTCATTTTTATTCCTTTATGATTTACAATCTCGAGTTCGAATCACGACCCTTAAGGTAACAGTAACAGGACTTCACAGAAACTAAGAGAGAAAAAACCTACACTTTAATGATAGTGGTAGCTGGTGTAAAAATGCGAGAAACAACAAACTTTCGAACAATAGGCACACTGGATAAATGTCGTATTCGTACATTTACTGATATGACAGCGATCCCTGTCGAACGAGAAACAAATCTGTTCGACGTTGAAAAATGCCCTGGATTACAGAGTTGTGATTTTTTTTAATTTTGCCTGTGTTTCCGCTGACGTGAGAAAATGCGTAAAATGCCCATAACTTCCCAAGGGAAAAGTCTCCGCCCGAACCCTCTTAGGCTTTTTACCCACTCCACATCCCCTATCGATCCACGCAAGAACGAGCGAAATCGGAGTGCTTCATCTCCATAGGTTCCCTCGTAAGTTAAAGGGTTTTAGTCTTTAAATCTTATTAATTTGAAAGATGCTGGATACCATAGAAAAATTCATATTTATCTAATCACTTATTTTCCACTGTCGAGTTGTATTAAAAAAATATATTATCTTCGATTAATACATATATTTTTGCAAAGAAACAAAGTTGAAATGAGATTAGAAAATACTAAATCTTGTTTAGATATATTATTTAAACATTGTGTATGAGAGCACTCTAAGATCAAACATTTCGTATATTTCTTATAATTAAAAGGGAAAAGATCTCAAAATACTAACATCAAAGTAATTATTCACTAACAAGGTGTATTCATTTTATAAGAGTTTTGAAGTGAGGAAAATTTGATTTGCAATTGAGCAATTTGCAATTTGCAATTGAGCAATTTGCAATTGAGCAATTTGCAATTTGCAATTGAGTCCTTTTTTCCTAATCCGTCTATATCCAAGAAGATTAACTAACATTCTTTCTACCCTTTTTGTTCATTTTAGCTAGACAGACTTATTCATCTCTTTTTTGCACGTTTTTCGTGGTAGCCCGCTTTTGTACGGGATTCCAGCGTACTTAATGCATCCTGCATGCTTTAAGGACAGCGGGATACTCTACTTTGTGCATAAAAAAAATGCACCTAATTTACATGGGAGAATACATTCAAGCTGCCTTAACTATCCATCCACAGTGTCTCACGTAGATCAGAATCCAGGCGCCTTCATAAGGCCTCGTGACGCGTCTTTTACATGGGAATACCTTCTTATTAAGTAAAAATGAGATTCCCTGTAAGGCGATTGAAACGTACCTCTTTTTTCACATTGCAGTATTATTATCAGTATCGCACTTCATGCATGAAGTCTATCCAGTAATTAAGGGTACTTTTTTAGGGAGATAGGACATCGAAAAATAAAATCGATGTATTTTTGCCCAGAATTTTCGGACGTGCTCTTCTATGGGTTTTCTGGAAAACTCAAGTTTTCATCGGATCACATTACGACCCTCGAAACAATGGTCCATCGAGCTCAAGATTTTACCACAGATACTTCAGACCCTATCTAAGGATGTAAATTTTTCTTTTCGAAAAAAATGTGCTTTCCTTCTCGAGATATTGGAAAAATACTAAAAACCCTGTATAAAAAACCTTCTCACACCGAAAGTTGAAATCGAAAATGCGTAAGAAAAATTTACATCCTCAGATAGGGTCTAAGGTATCTGGGGTAAAAGTTTGAGCTCGATCGGACCGTTTTTTCAATGGGTCGTAATGTGACCCGATTGAAGGGACCATCGAGAAAACGCATAGTGAGAAAAACACATATTCTACGTAGGGCTCTGATTTTTAGCGCATTTGTGGTGATATCTCCACGAAAACTCATCGGAAAATTCTGGAAGACATCTCATTTTGAAGAGCACACTTCCTTCTATCGTGCTAAATATAAGAAAAAATTTTAAACTACTCAAGTGAGTTAGTGCTAGGTAAAACAAGAGCTTCTTTTTCAGCTACGAAAACTTAACCATCTTTTCTGAGAAATTAGAGGACAACAGAAAAGTCCCATGTCGATCAAGATTCCAAATATGCCATTCTCTCCAAAATGAACTTCCGTATAATGGTCGGGAAACCTACATACTGATGAACAAAAATTAACGATCTATTTTTATTAATTAAAATTCTTCTTCATTATTTCAAAGAGAATAGTGTATCCACATAGGTAAGCGAAGAAGAATGTCTACAGATGATGGTGATCAAAGGCAAACATTCACTGTGTGTTTAATCAGAGGTTCTGAAAGACTGTGTAGGAACGACCGGATATCAGTATTAAAAATTATCCATAATTTAGTAGATTTTAAGGTAAAATCAAATAGCAAGTTTTCCTTGTCA